TCATTGCAAGAAGGTATTACGGATAAAATTATGATTTGTATTTCAAGATGTCACTAATCCTATAAGCGACGTCACCCTCTGAGTGAACCATCCCAACGCACTAGGCTAAAAGGTTGTCATCCCCCTTGCCCGGGTTGGAACGGAGCACTCACCTGACGATATCGCGAACAGGGCCAGCGATATCGTCAGGTGAGTGCTCCGTTCCAACCCGGGCAAGGGGGATGACAACCTTTTAGCCTAGTGCGTTGGGATGGTTCACTCAGAGGGTGACGTCGCTTATAGGATTAGTGACATCTTGAAATACAAATCATAATTTTATCCGTAATACCTTCTTGCAATGATTTCTGACATTTAATATATAAAATATAATATTTAAATAATTTATTTCATCATATGACTCTCAACTATCAGTTTGGCAGTATCAGAGATGTTGAACTGTTAGTGCTTAGGTGACATAGGCCATTGACGGTTTCTTCTTTTTCCTACTGTTTGACTGACGGTTGACAGGCATATGACAACTGACTCTTTGTACCTACGCTAAAAATAGTTCAAATAGTAACATAAAAAAGTTTCATTTTCGTTTCTAGTACCGAACGGTGTTAGATGTGAATTTTATTAATTATTTTAAAAATTTGACCATGTGCCCTAACGTAAAATTAAAAATATAAACTTTTTGGCTAACATGATTGTTATCAACCATTTTTATCTCGTTTTGTGATGTACCGTAAATTTTTTATTAATATAACACCACATGTACACAACGATTCTCACTGAGTTGTAAGTATATGTTTTTTCAAAATTGTTTCTTATAACCTCTGTAAAAATTAATATTGTAGCTCCCTGAAGATGAACATAATCATGTTCGAAAGCTTGGAATAAATACTTAAAAGAGTACACAATTGTAAGATTTTTGCTGAAAATCCCAAGATTCCTTAGTTTATTTTCTAACTAGTCGGCAAAGACTAAGCCATTTTTGGCTTTTATATATATATATATATATATATATATATATATATATATATATATATATATATATATATATGCATTCTGCATATATTCCGCTCTTTATTTATTAGCAATGACATGACATTTTTTTAAATCATTATAACCATATCACGGGGGCTGATAAACACCGAAACACCAAATATGTTAATTTTCGAAAAGTTTGTACGGCAATTTAATTAAAAGTAATATATAGGGTGGGCCCCCAGGAATTGCATCGATCGATATCTCAGTAACTAGATGTAGGAAAAATGTCAAAATTTGGACACTTGCTAGTTGTCTTGGGTCCTATTTAGCTAAAATGTTTGAATGTATTGGGCACCATTGGTTGTACCGCAAATAGATCTTAAGTGGCTTATTTTAAATACGACACCCTAATATTTTTGGAATTACTCAATATTTTAGGCACATTATTTGAATTATGTATTATACCTAGGTCTAAGCGTTTCTGATATATTAGGGTTATAAAACGTCATTTTTGACACAAAAATTTAAATGTGTCAAAAACGCTTAGACTCGTGGTGTTTTCTCACTTTCTTCTTTTCCGTATTGATAGACAAAGATACATGTATAATCAGTGTGCATTGCCGGTGCTAGTGAAAAACACCATTAGGTTTATGAAATTTTTTCTACATCTGGTTTCTGAGATATCGATCCACCCTATATATACACAAAATGTTTAATACCCATAAGTTTAAAAAGAAATAACCTAAAGGTTTGTCAACTTACAAAATATGAACCTGGTTATCAAACGAATTAACGACGACATCTTTTGTTAAATACGGAAGACCTGCACGTCTGGCTCTAAAGAAAAAAGATACACATAAAGTAACTGTGACATTTCTACATTAAATTGTAAATATTTTCTCTTAGAATACAGATATTAATTGGTCGGATTAAAATGCTTTTAAATTTAGTTTCTTTATAATCACAGAGTAAAGCCAAAAATACTTTTAATTTTTTCTCTTTTCGCAATATAGGTTTGTAAACCAAAATAACTCTTAATAAACTAATTCAAAATAAGCGGAAATAAATTGGTACTCAGATACTTACAAATTATATTTTTCAAGATTTCTATGCTTCTTTCTCTTCGCACTTAAAAAAAGTCCTGTTTTTTTACTTATTCTGAGATCTCTTTCCATATTTTGCTTGTCTTTTTCACTAATTAACACTACAAAAATCACCGTAACAACAATAAAAAACTACCTTCACTTGTGTCTCAAATGCCGTACGTAGATGTACTAAACAACAGCGAACTGAGAGTACATTGTGAGTACATTCAAAACAAGTCAATACTTGAATGGGACACGTGTGTATCTAGGGAGGGGGTACTATGACTTACGGAAAATCGCAGCCTAATTTCTTCTTTCTCATGTGTATTAATTGGGAGAACTCAAATGGTATATTTCAAGTAGCGAGCCAAGTCTACATTTCAACTAAACGCTATTAACTATTCTAAAAATATCTCGATTTTTGTGATAAAACAATAGGCAAAAATACAATTTGAACGAATTCCACAATAATTACATAAAATCAATTTTGTTTTAGCATCACAAAATAGTATAAAAGGCAATTTCTTTATTAAAAACTAGAATAACTATTTACTATTTATAAATCTGAACTCCGGTCCTGCAACGTCAGCGTGTGTCAAGAGAGACAAGGAGGGACACAATAGAACCGAAATGAATGATTGATGCCGGTTAAATTTAAATTTTATGCAGAGGTCGACAATTAATCTAGTATTTTTCTTAAATTTCGACTAATTATGACAAATTTTGTACCAAATAAAAGATAAAGGATAGACTTTACCTCGGGTAATAATAGATTTTTTAATTTTGTCTTAGTTTGTCCTGGATGCATTTTTAAATCTTAACAAAGAAAACCATTTAATTGGAAAATTTCAGACTCGTTTAAGATACTAAAAAAAATCTAATCTAATTTTTTATTACTACTCAAGGAAAGACCTGACCTTTTGCATATTGGAGGTTTTAATTGACAATGATATCTTATACGGTTTTCGAGAAAACAGATTAATCAGGCACCTATGCAGGATAGGGCGATTAACCAAGCGGTAGCCGACTCTTAATATAATTTGTAAAATAATAAAGTTTGTTATATATTTTTATTTGTTCACCTGACAATTGACTGGCCTGTTGGTTTATATCCAGTGACACTAACTTAGTTAAAAAAAAAAATTAGTATACAGGGAGACTCAATACTCAGACCCTTGATTTTCTTGTTTTATTTAAATGGTACACCTTATATTTTATATCACCAGTAAAATCATCTGTCCCAAGCCTTTCATTTTTATTAGGCTCCCTATACCTAAAGTTAATAACTGTTAATATTTTTAACATTAAATGATAATTATGGTTATTTCGATAAATTAAACTAGTTTTTCATAAAAAAACTCTTTATCAACAGTCATAAATAATATGTGTGAATACAAAAAATAGGTGTACCTCAAATTTTGTACAATTAGGATTAGCAATTTACGAGATAATTGGCCGTTTCCAGACTTTTGGGCCACTCCGTATATATATATATATATATATATATATATATATATATATATATATAATACCACCAAAATGAACAACCTTAATTAAGATATAAGTAATAAAAAATTTTTACCTTACTTTATCATAATATGTGGTATTATTTTATTTTAGTCTCCCTGATGATGGAAATAAACATTTCCGAAAGCTTGGAATAAACTTAAAAAAGTACTCTTTTATTTGCTGCATTACCCACAAATTACTGGTTTAATTATATATATATATATATATATATATATATATATATATATATATATATATATAGAGAGAGAGAGAGAGAAGGTTTATTGCGGTGAAAAAATATAATATAATCCTTTTATCTTTTATATATATATATATATATATAGCGGGTCGTTTTCGAGCGGCCATATTGCCTGGAACGTGTTCATTAATTTAAATCAGTTTAGCAAAATGTATTTTAAGACCAATTTCCAACCTTTGAATATGTTTAAAAAATATCTACATTTTTACTTCAAGGCATAAGCTTATGTTAATTTTCAAAATCATGGATGATCTATCTTAATAACTATATGATTGATCCTGTCAAATCACCAGGCCTAGTGTTGCCATATCATAACCTAATCATGTGCCTGTCATTACCTACGGGCAAACATTTTGCTTGGAATGCCTAATTATTAAATTCAAATTAATGATAGAGACCCTTAGGTAAATATCCTCATATTATCCTTATATTATAAAATCAGTTAGAGATAACAGGTACCTACATCACATGCAAGGATTAGCTATCCATTGTTATATTCATATTAATGTTGTAGGTCCTTAGGTAAATATCCACAGATTATAAAATCATATCAGTTAGAGATTACAGTTATATTACATGAAAGGATTAGCTATACATTATTGTATTCATATTATTGATGTAGACCCTTAGGTAAAAATCCACATAATGTGATCGTATCATTTACATCAAATGCAAGCAGAATATGAAAAGATTACAAACATGTGCCAATTCATTTTACGGATCTACTAACTGTAAGTTATATGACTCGATAAAATGTACGTTGTAACTTTGTAAATCATGCGTTGGGCGCCATCTTAAGTGTCAAAGTTTTAAATGAACCACTGAATTTTACAAAGCAATAGATTTAAGCGCCTTATCAATGGAATGATATAAAAAAATGTTTCTAAAGAAGGCCTTGGAAAAATTCACACATGTTGCAGCGCACAATTCTTCTTTTTAAGTGTCGATTTGAATTTAATTCAGAGTCGTGCGTAGTAATTATGGACATGACTTGTCTTTGTCGGTCACTTCCTACTTTAGAAACATTCTTTGCGGATCACTATGTATATTGTTTATTTTTTTGTATGCATAATAATGGGATAATAGGTTCTAAAACATTACCATGTAGAATTCAGTTTAATAATTATTACTTCTAGTACTTACGTATTTATAATTCTATTTTCCCAAATATTTTTAAGGCGAAACGACACGTAGGAGCTCTAGATCTAGGTAGAAGTGGTGGAGGTGCCCCAATGTTTAGCAATGGTAAAAAAGTAACCAGAACTTGCGAAGACCCGGTTTTGAGGTTTCAATTTGGTAGCAAAGACCTTAGAAAATGTGTAGATAATAACCTTAGGTATAAAACTAATAGACAGCAACAACAGGAATATAAAAAAGAATTAGGTATGTAGTAGCAGAATTTATTATTTATAGGAATCTTGATAAATCAGGATTCTAAATTTATTTATTGATATTGTTTTTTTAGATCAATTGGTAGAAGAGAAAAAGCGTAAGAAAAAAAAAGAAAAAAACGAGGACAAAAAATTTCACCAGGACCAAGTAAGTGAACATATTTGTTTGTCGACGTGTCTTTTTGTACATAAAACAATTTTGGGAAGTTTAAGAAAGCTCCTCCTTGGGGAAGACCTGGACCTGGTGGAATACTTTGGAGAAAACCTAGCGCGATAGGCCAACAATTTTTTAAGTCTTTGGTACGCTACACTTTTGTGTAGCTTCCACACTTTTTTGGTATAAAAACGCAGTGTATTCCTTAAATATGTTAAAATATCAAAAATGTGTAACTTGTTTGGCTTTATGTTTATATGATTTAGTGATTATCTCGTTTCAAGAAAAACTAAAGTAATAAATACGAGAGCCTGTCTCCTTATTCGCCCAATTTTGCCCCTTATGATTTTTCGTTTCCTACTATCAAATTGAAACTTATAGGACGTGAAATTTTAAAAATGATAGTTTTATTCTAGAAGACCATAAAAAATTAAAATAGAAGTATTTAAGGAATACACTGATTTTGTCCAGAATACACAAAAAATATATAAGAAAGTTTTCGTCAAACAAATTAATTATTGTAAAAGTTAAAATGTTATTCCCAATTTCTAATAATTTTAGGGTTGGTCTGATGAAAAAACACTGAAGCATTTAGAAAATGAAGAAATTAAAAACAAACCTCAAGAATTAAAAAAATACAACGGCAAGATATCCAATCAAAGTTCAACACTTAACTCTCCTAGTAAACCATCTTCAAGGTAATAAGTAACTTGGAATGTTTTTTACATTTATGGCTTTTGATGATTTAATTATTAATAAGTAAAATAGTTAAAGCAATAACCAATTCCACGCACATTAATGTGCATTTTGAAAATGAAAATTTGTTAAGCCTAAATAGGTTCTGACTCGTTGGAGTCTGATTTGCGAATATTTAATGTTTACACTGAAACAGTGTTAAACAAGAAGCCAAAAATGCTATTACCTTGCGGATAGTATTCGTTAAAATGTTATGATGGCCAAAGTCGAATGATGTAACGTTTTGTTATTATCAACTTTTAAATAATTTACAACCTTTTATTTCTTTGACTTTAAACAATCTTATGAGCAGAAAGAGATACGGAATTAAACATTTTAATGTTTGATTTCAATTTCATTCAAGGATAGTTTCATTAAAATAGAATGTTAGAACGATATATATATATATATATATATATACACTGGTTTTAGGTATCACAATTTATTTCAACTCAACTTTAACAACAATTATACAACTGATAACATTAACGTATAACGTCTATCATAAAACTGCAAAATGATGTCAGGATCCCTGCTTATATAGATTGCTTTAACCTATCGAACTGTTTAAACTTTTCCTTGGCGTGGAATAACATTTCCAGACATTTCTGGACTATTATATCTTCTTTTTCTAGTACTTTTACTTATGACGACCGCAGCACACTGGAGTTTGATTTTGTTGAATTTCTAGCATCATTCTACGACTCTCCATTCATAGAACGAGCCCTGTTTTGACAGGTTCTTTGAAGGTTTTCGATTCTTCCGCAATTAAAGCACCTTTTGTTTTTATTTTGGCTATTTCGTTGCATATTTTGCAGGATATTTAATATTTGTGAGAGGGTAGATTGAAGGATACTTTTAGTAATGGCCTCTTCATTTTCCTGGAATATAATTTCTCTCAATTTTGCGAGCGAAGATCTAGATATAGTTTTTGCTGCTTCGTATTCCTGCTTCGTATGCTGCAATCAGTGTCTCACTCAACGTCTTGTGGTGTTGTAGCCAAAGAGTCTGCTACATTTCCACATCCTGTAGTCCATCAATGAATGCCTGTATGCCGATTTGTTGTAAGAAATCTGTAGGTGCCTGTGGATAGGCCAGATGCAGCAATCTTTTAATATCGGCTTCGAATTCTTGTAGACTCTCATTGTGTTTCTGACTACGAACTTTTAGCTGGCTTTGAAATAGCTGTTGTAAATGCTGTTGACCATACCTCGTCTCCAAAGCTTGGACGAGAGATGAATTACTGGGTTCCTCTTGAGGAAGTAACTGTAAAACGGTTGCTGCCTGACCTCGCAGTGACACTATCAATGAAGCCGCCATCTCTTTCCGGTCCAGCCATTGGCTCTAGCTGCAGCTTCAAATTGGAGTCGATATGTTTCCCATGTTGTCTGAACGTCAAACGTGGGTGGCTTAAGGGTCTTGATAGTATAGTTTTGTGAAACTGGGATTCGAATGTGGCTTGGTTCGGTTATGGATGAAGACGAGGTAGTGTTTTCAGCTTCAATGTTGCTTAGCGAAGCTTGGCTATGAATTCTTTTTTCGAACTATACCATTTCAGCTCTAATTTGCCTTTCTAACTCTACTCTTGCATTTTCCTGTTGTTGTTCTAAATTGGTTTTTAAATGCTGTTGCTGCTGATCTAAATGAGTTAGATGCTCTTGCAGTTGTTCTACATTAGTTTTTAAAATATCTTGTTGTATCAAAAGATCTACTCTATTGTTAAGCTGACAAATCTCTTTTAGAAGGTTTCCTGGATTTGTAGCAAACCGTACATAATTTCAATCGCTTCTTTTCTACGCCTCTCCTCCTTCTCGTCTTCTTCGTCCTTCCTGTGCCTTTCCTTTTCCTCCTCTTCTTCCTTCCTACGCCTTTCCTTTTCCTCCTCTTTTTCCTTTCCACGCCTTTCCTTTTCCTCCTCTTCTTCCTTCCTACGCCTTTCCTTTTCCTCTTTACGCCTTACTCTCTCCTCTTCCATCTTCAACAACCATGCTGGTGGCCTAAAGTATCATGCCTGCTTCGTACTCAGTATATCTAATATTCACCATGAACTTTCACTTATTATCCCACCGCTGTCACCAATGTTACACTGGTTTTTGGTATTACAATTTAGGTTTGTTCCAACACAATAGCAAATCGGTTTGCGTACTGTCGGGATTCTGCGCAGTCTAGATTTGGTGTTCCAACAAACTTCGGACTCTACAAAAACCTAGTGTTCCAACACACCCAAACCTAATCACAAACCAGTTTCTGTACTGTCAAATCAATTCCTGGGTGTGAATATGAACGAATTGTTAAGATATGCGCAAAACGAAAGTGAGCTCGTAAATAAACCACCACCAACTCTAAAAATCGAATAATTAAAATTTTTAAATCTTTTCATGAGTTTTATAATTTTTTTACTTCCCAATTCAAAATTTTTCATTTGTTAAATTTGCTTCTACTTTGAAGTTATTAACAGAGTGTGTCTGACAACATAAAAATGTGTTCCAACACATCCAAGTTCCGAATCGCGTCCCAATCCTCGACAGGTCGTGGACAGGTCGTCGACTATCAGTCGTCGACAATAAGTTGTGGACTGGTTTATGTATGGTCCCAAAATTGTTGTTGGAACAAACCTTTTATTTCAATTCAACTTTAACAACAATTATACAACTGATAACATTAACGTATAACGTCTATCATAAAACTGCAAACTGACGTCAGGATCCCTGCTTATATAGCTTGCTTTAACCTTCTCGAACTGTCTAGACTTTTCCTTGACGTGGGATGACATGTCTGGACTATTCTATCTTCTTTTGCTAGTACTTTTACTTTTGACGACCGCAGCACAATGTAGGGCGATGAGTAACTGTGCACTTCTTTTTGTATTCGTACGTTTCATATAACAGCCGCACACTACTGCAGAGTGCTGCGAAATAATATACATCTTTAGAGCAGGATAGAGTAACAAAGCTAGTGTGTTGAAAGCTCTGTTGAAAGATTACGTGGCTTATTAATCTGAACAAATTTTGAATTATACTAATTTAGATGGCGATTTCATGAAATTACGAGTCAAATACAATTCCTTATTGATTAATGAAGAAAATAAAAGTATCAACTGGCTTAAAAAAAATAACGCTCATATTTTTCCTCATGCATTGAATCCAAATCGAACCTAAAGAAACTAAACTACCACTGCAACTTTATTAAAACAAAAATACCTTCACCCGAATAGCACAAACATGGAGACTACACAAGGAGCACGCACTCCATGTATAGGGACCGTGCGTCATGACTTTAACGCTAACTGGTGACAAAAATGTGAACTTTATGGGGGGTATTTATTAATGTTTTATACGGCATTTATTGTTTAATAATTATTAATAAAATGAAGTCGAATTATTTTCGTAATATCAATATCGAAAAAACTTGTTGCATCCGTGGATGTACAAACACATCACTTTGGAAACCTGGATTTCATTCGATAGTAAAGAAATTTTATAAATTTTCACAGAGCACAATTATGCCTCACACCCAATGATATACATAATTACAAAGATTGCTTATCCATATGTAAATCAGACGACGAAAAGCGTATTTCACTAGGCAAAGTTTTCTTTTTATCTAGCTTGTATCAATTTTGAGCACTTAGTTGTAAAGAAATCATTTACAGAACCGGTTTAGAAATTAGAATCTTTAGTGTTTTCTTGTCATTAAGATTTTTACATATTTAAATGAACATTTTATATAAATATCATTTTACAGATAATGGTTTATTCTGTTGATTAAAACTAATGTAGAATATGAAATAAGAATGTCCAATTTGACAAAAATATCACGGCCCTCTTTACAATTTATTAACTATTTCTCATTTATTATTAAAATAAACATCATAAATAATACATTGCAATTACTGTCAAAAGAGATTGTAACAAACTTTAAAATATTAAAAATCCAGTGATTTTTGTAAATTTTTTTAGTGACATTACCATTAAACATTATTCAGAATAATAGATAAGTGTCCAATTACAACTCTTCCCAAAGTTGTTTATACCTCATATCAAAATTGTTTACATTACCTTTTCAAAATTGTATTACATATTGCAATTATGTATTTTATGTAGAATTGTTTCTGAAATAGTAGTCTAAAATTATTTATATGTATCTGTTATAAAAATTGTTTAGATCTCTTAATATTATTTAACTACATGAAAACTCAACTTTCCAAATACATAATGACATGTCTTGAAGTAAAACTTTAATTATTTTATATATCTAAAATAAAATGCTGAAATTTTATTTTAAAACACATTTGGGCTAGAACGGCTCTATTTAGTGAGCACTAGGAAATGCACATTGCAACCCGCTTTTCATAATTTTTTTATAGATGGGTGAGCAATCTATAATATGTATCATTGAACATCTCATAAACGTCAGTGGATGAATGACATTTCGATTAACTAAAGCTAAAAAGATTTATAATTATTATTATCAAACTTTTTTATTAATTTACATTATTTAAATGTTATTGTAATACTTTTAAATTCAGTGTTACTAAATACCGATATTTTAACATTGGATACACTTGTTTAAGGTACAACTTTACAATTTACTGTCACTTAGCCATTTAAATCTTTTTGCTTAAAATGTATATGCATGTCCAGATTTTAATAATGTTTCACATTTTACGTCATTTTGACCATGTACACGATTGTTTGGTACGGGCCGGTATCTATTTTTAACTATATTTAATATTTAAAAAAATACCCTTTATTATTTACTTGCAATGTTTACCCCATTTAATTCTAAAATTAAACACTAGAGAGGGCTAAGTTCGGCAGTAGTGCTGCCTCTATATTTCACGCACGGTCCCTATAACAAGCGTACTGTGTTAAACAGAGTATTTTAAGAGGGCGCTAGTGTTCCATAAGTACCAAAATGGCATAAGAGAATGAGGCGGTAGTTTGAAATAAAATAAATAATTCTAATTAATTATGAATTAATTAATTAATTATAACTCTAATTATATTTATTTAATTTAAAAACATTTGACACGTGTTTACGTTAATTAAATAATCGGTTACTTTATTTTCACGCTAACTTCACATTTGTTTATTCCTCTATATTCACACCGGTACAAAAGAAAAATTAGCGATGCTAGTGGTGAAAAAAAAAAAGCATTATTTATACGATAAAGCGCGGACATACTCTGGCAAATGCCACACTTGAGTGCGTGCTCCTTGTGTAGTCTCCATGAGCACAAAGTTATCTTAAAATCGTCTTTTTTTCGTCTTAGTTTGGTCTCAATGTCCTAGGACATTATTAAGACGTCTGGTAAAAGCCATAATTCAGACGTATTAATGTAAAACACATACTTTGATGAGAGAGTTCCGACACCACTCCGACACGCCCACATACTTTTATTACTATACGAGGCAAGAGAGAGGTCCGACACGCCCAACATAGGGCGCGGCCATTTTGAACCCTGTGACACAGTTTACAGCTAAAGAATCAGATCGCTCACTCTGCGTCGGCACTTTTGATCTCAATGTTTCTGTTTATACACTGTGCAACTCGGATAATACAATATATGACAACCGCCTATAATAAAACAGCAGTCTTCTGCGTATCCTGAATTTGTATCCCTGGAGTGGATGTTATTTTGGAACTTTCAACTGGTCCGAGTGAGCTAACTGATTCTTTAGCAATAAACTGTGACTTCAAAAATAATATTCACTGACACTGACAGCAGCAAGCAAAATATCAGGTGCGTTTTAATCATCCGCTTCTGCTTCCGGAATTGTCGGTTTAGTCGTTTTAACCTGTCAGATTAAAACAAGAAAACCGACAATTCCGAAGCAGAAGCGGATGATTAAAATGCACATATTAAAAATATTGCGCCAAGATGTAGACAACACGTAATAAGGGTTCAAAATGGCGGAGTTTTCTATCTCCTTTTAAAAGGCACTCATAAAGCTGCGCAGTGCGACCATTCTCCGTATAGTAAAAGAAAATCAAAGTATGTGGACACGCCCAACATAGGGCGCGGCCATTTTGAACTCTGTGACACAGTTTACAGCTAAAGAATCGGATCGCTCACTCTGCGTCGGCACTTGGATCTCAATGTTTCAGTTTATACACTGTACAACTCGGATAATACAACATATGACAACCGCCTATAATAAAACAGCAGTATTCTGCGTATCCTGAATTTGTATCCCTCACATACTTTGATTTTCTTTTATTATACGGAGAATGGTCGCACTGCGCAGCTTTCTGATTGCCTTTTAAAAGGAGATAGAAAATTCCGCCATTTTGAACCCTTATTATGTGTTGCCTACATCTTGGCGCAATATTTTTAACGGGTGAGTTTTAATCGTCCGCTACTGCTTCGGAATTGTCAGTTTTCTTATTTTAATCTGACAGGTTAGAACCACTGACAATTCCGGAAGCAGAAGCGGATGATTAAAACGCACCTGATATTTTGCTTGCTGCTGTCAGTGTCAGTGAATATTATTTTTGAAGTCACAGTTTATTGCTAAAGAATCAGTTACCTCACTCGGACCAGTTGAAAGTTCCAAAATAACATCCACTCCAGGGATACAAATTCAGGATACGCAGAAGACTGCTGTTTTATTATAGGCGGTTGTCATATATTGTATTATCTGAAATGTGCAGTGTATAAACTGAAACATTGAGATAAAAAGTGCCGACGCAGAGTGAGCGATCTGATTCTTTAGCTATAAACTGTGTCATAGGGTTCAAAATGGCCGCGCCCTATGTTGGGCGTGTCGGACCTCTCTCTTGTCCCGTATAGTAATCAAAGTATGTGGTATCCCTGGAGTGGATGTTATTTTGGAACTTTCAACTGGTCCGAGTGAGCTAACTGATTCTTTAGCAATAAACTGTGACTTCAAAAATAATATTCACTGACACTGACAGCAGCAAGCAAAATACAGGTGCGTTTTAATCATCCGCTTCTGCTTCCGGAATTGTCGATTTAGTCGTTTTAACCTGTCAGATTAAAACATGAAAACCGACAATTCCGAAGCAGAAGCGGATGATTAAAACGCACCTATTAAAAATATTGCGCCAAGATGTAGGCAACACGTAATAAGGGTTCAAAATGGCGGAGTTTTCTATCTCCTTTTAAAAGGCACTCAGAAAGCTGCGCAGTGTGACCATTCTCCGTATAGTAAAAGAAAATCAAAGTATGTGATATGAAAGCTCAAAGACGTTTTTAAGGTATCTTAAAGAAGTCTTGCCAAATCCATATAGTAATGCGAAAGCTCAAAGGCGTCGTAAAGGACCATATTAATAAGCAGAATAACTTAGCTGAGTCCGACTTAGGTGATCGAAAATCTATTATTATTATTATAACCCATAAATAAGACATCTTAAAGACCTCTTATTTATGGCTTATTTTAGGCTCTTCAGACCAATAGAAGCCATTAATTACACGTCTTATAGACGTCCCCTTTTGCAACATCAGGCGTCTTCTAAGACGTATTAAAGACGTCTTTTAAGCAATACCAGACGTTTGATACGTCTTATGTAAGGCATCTTAAAGACGCCTTTAAGGCTACTTTGTGCTATCTGGGGCAACCACATACTTTGATGGGGCAACACTACCTAAATTGTAATTGACTCCCGTGAACTACTCTTTCAAAATTGCGACCAAGGCTGCGCAAACAAAATACTCGTACTTACCATTTACCACATCTATTAGGGGATTTTACTGGGACTGATATTCGCTTTGTGATAATTAAGCAATAATTATTAATTTATTAATGTTTTTAAGGTTGGATCCCTTGGCCTACCCTCGGCGTACTTTCATCCCAGTGGGTAAAAACAGAAAACTCTCTCCCTTATCAGATAATAAGGACTGTGGTGTAGAGTTGGTAACGTTGTTGGCCAAAGACAGAAAATATCCTCCTAGAATTCCTCTTTGTAGTTCTGACATTACTTCCGAGAAAAAAATGGGCAATAACCTGTAAGTGATATGCAAGTACACTGGTTTAATTTGTGTAATTTTTTTTTGTATTTTAGGCATCCAGGAATTTGGAGTCGCCAAGGTTCTGCTTATCTAAAAGCCTTAGCAGAACAAATGATGAACAAACAACAAAAAATGAAGGTAAACATAGAAAACTCATTTTTTATAATAAAGTTGGTACGCATTTACCTAGAACAGTCACTTTACATTCCGGAATTTTCCTTGGTACAAAAAAAGCAATTCCAATTTGACGCACTATAAGTTGTATTAGGCTGTATTAGCGAAATCCGTGTAGTTCGCAACTGCGTGGATCTTATTTACATGAAAGTGTACTTAGTTATTCAAACTGCACCGAGCGGATCATCAATCAGCAGATTTATTACTATCGTGTCCAAGATCCAGTGGAAGAGTTGAATATCGAGCTATGCGACTCGTAAAACTTTTCAACTTTCTGTTGGTCATCTAGTACTCGGACAGTTTTCAACATATTTCTGAAAAACCAGAACACGAGCAACCAAATGCATATTAGGCATTCCAAACTAAATGGGTTTTGACAGGTTATGATATGGCAAAATTATGGCAACCCTGTAGGCCTGGTGATTTAACAAGGTCAATGAAATAGAGAGTTACATAGATTGATCATCCATATTTTTTTAAATAAACATAGGCTTATGCCATGAAGTAAAAATATAGGTAATTTTTTTTTTATAATATTCAAATGCTCCCAGATAGCACAAAGTCGTCTTAAAGACGTCTAGCATAAGACATTAGATACGTCTTTAAGACGTCTGGTATTTCCTGAAAGACGTCTTTAAGACGTTTTAGAAGACGTCTGATGTTACAAAAGAGGGTCTTTAAGACGTTGCAATATATTTAACCCTAATTTGAGGGTGATTGCAACTAACTAATTATGGTCTATGAATTAAACACAATATGTTGATTCTACAACCATTTAATTCCAACTGTATTTCAACTGCGGTACAAAATATAAAAATGTCTCTACAAGATAAGAAATTAAATTTACAGGGTGTAACAATTTGAACCTATAAAATAATATGAAATAATTATATTAGATATTCCACATCTCCCCCTCAAAAAAAAAAGTATTAACCTTAAATTTAATATTTACAATCTACCAAGTTAATCATAATTTAAACGATTCACTAGTTTGACCACGCTTTTGGGCCTACTACTAGCATCTATACTACTATTTACATCACTATGTACATCATTATTTACACTAGAAACTTCATTTGAATCATCTGCTTGAGACACTAATGGAAGTGAAGATTCTACGATATGAAATATTTTCATTTAATTCAAATGACGTTTCCATTCTGTGTCTTGCAATTCTGGAATTTTAACAATATATGTAACTTTCCCAATTTTTTTAAGAACAATGGCTTTTATCCATTCCACCTTATTTTTTCTTCGATAATCGCGCACAGTCACCTGTTCACCTGGATCGAACACTAAACATATTTTACCACTAGAATGAAGTTTTTGTTTTTCTTGTGTCTTTGATATATGATTTCTCAAATTGGTTTGATCACCAGGTAAAAGTATATCAAAACGAGTGCGTAAATTCCTTTTTAACATTAATTTCGCCGGATTTGTTGTACAATGTGGGGTTGAACGATAATCAAATAAAAAATTATTGAGCGATGAATTATTGTTAATATTATAGCTTTTCCCAAGTGCATTTTTCAGAGCATTTTTAATTGTCTTAACGGCGTTCTCTGCTGCCCCATTAGAGGAAGGATGGTAAGGAGGACTAGTAATATGCAAAACATGATTATTTCTTAGAAAGTTTTCAAATTCTAATGAACAAAATGAAGTACCTTTATCAGTTACGATTTTATTTGGTAAACCGAATCGGGCAAAACAAGATCGTAATATCTCTATTGTTTGCGATGACGTTATTGAAGTCATACGAAAAACTTCAATCCACTTGCTATGAGCATCTAAAATTAATAAAAAATAATTACTTAAAAAAGGATCCATAAAATCTAAATGAAGTCTTTTCCATGGCTGTTCAGGCCAAGGCCAAGATTGAATAATGGTTTTTTCTGGAGAATTTATATTTTTTAAACAATTTTCGCAAGTTTTGCATATTTCTTCAATTTTTTACCTAAACTGGGCCACCAGAAATACTATCGCGCTAAGCTTTTCATTTTTACCACACCCATATGTGTAGAGTGCAAACTTTCCAAAATGTTTGCTTGTAATTTAACGGGTATTACAATCCTGTTGTTCCAAATTAAACAGTCATTTTCAATCGATAATTCATTTTTAATTTTATAAAAATATTTAAAATCATCATTCTTTTCAAATTTTTTATTTAAAGGCCAACCGTTTTCTACGAATTCGACAACGGTTGATAATATTTTATCTTTTACCGTTGCTTGCCGTATTTTCTCGAAATTTATCGGAATATTTTCGTTCATAGAAAAAATGTCTATATAATTGAAATTTACATTTTCCACGGAATCCTCTTCCACTGGTTGAGGAAGTCGGGACAATACATCTGCAGGATTATTTTCACTTTTTACGACTTCAATGTTATATTGATAACTCGACAAAATTATTGCCCATCTGCGCAACCTATTTGCGGAATATTCCGGTATCTTTTCCTTTGGATGAAAAATATAGGACAAAGGCTTATTATCGGTTACTAAGGTAAATTTTTTTCCGAATAAATTGTTATGAAATTTGCATAACCCAAAAATAACCACTGACGCCTCTTTTTCTAAAATACCAAATTTTTTCCCTCTATCTATTAAGGTTCGCGATGCATAAGCTATCACTTTTTCTGTGCCGTCTGGCCACATGTCTGGCATACTATGGGAAATTAATGCTCCTACTCCATAATCACTTGCATCAGTAACTAATCGTAAATGTAGTATAGGATCGAAATGCACTAAAACCGGTGGTGACGCTAAAATTTTCTTAACATTTTCAAAAGATTGCTGACATTGAACAGACCAACACCAAGTTGACTTTTTTTTAATAAATTATAAAGTGGATGCAATAATGTAGACAAATTTTTTTACACATTTTCCATAATAATTTATTAAACCTAAAAATGATTGTAAAGAAATAACATTAGTGGGGGGTTGTGCATTCATTATTGCTGATATGTTTGTCTCTGACGTATGTAAACCCTCCTTGTCAATATCATATCCTAGATAGGTAATTTTTTCTTTAAAAAAATCACATTTCTTTACTGATAATTTTAATCCTGCTTCTTGTAAACGAGAAAGGACGGTTCCTAAACGGTTTAAATGTTCATCCCGGGTTTTTCCCATAATCAGGATGTCATCTTAAAAACAGACAACGCCCTCCAACCCTTGTAACAACGATTCTATTATGTTTTCAAATTTTGCAGGTATACTTGCAATGCCAAACGGTGCTCTATTATACCGAAACAAGCCTTTATGAGTCGAAATTGTTACCAATTCTTTTGATTCATCATCCAAACATATTTGTTGATAAACATTTGATAAGTCAAGTTTCGTGAAATGAACACCCCCAGTTAATTTACTAAATAAATCATCAATTTTAGGTAAGGGGTAAGAATCAAGTTCTACAAAAGGATTCGTTACTTTAAAATCGCCACATAAACGAACCGAACCATCTTTTTTTAATACCGGAACTATAGGAGTTCCCCATAACGAAAAATCTACCGTTTCAATAATCCCCAACTCCATCAGTCTATCAAGTTCTTTTTCCACCTTTTCTCTCATCATAAAAGGTAAAGGACGTGCTCTGAAAAATCTGGGACTAACTGAAATATCAGATTTCAATTTAATTGAAATTAATCCTTTGTTAAATTTACCTAATACTGGTGAAAATAATGTTTGAAATTTATCAACTAAATAATTAACTTCCACTGGAATGACAAGTTCATTTAAATTAAAAATAGTTAAATCAAAAAGATTAAAAAAATCTCTTCATAACAAGGATGGTCCACCAGTTTTTATGACAAAGAAATTTAAAGTACCTACCATATTTTCCCTCGAACAGGATTTCACAAGTAATAAAACCTAAAGGTATAATTTGATCCCCGTTATATATATGGAAAACCTTTTTAGTTCGCTGCAAAAATTTGTTGCTAAAATTTTTAGAATAAAAATTATCTGAAATTACAGAATAACTAGCTCCTGTGTCCAAACTAAAGGTAAACATTTTTTGTTCTACCAATAAATCTATTATTAAAACCAAACCTGACTTTTCTTCTAAATTAAATAAATTAAACAAACAATAATCTTCGGAATCTAAAAAATTATTTTTATCGCGATTGTTCGATTTATTGGAATTATTTTTATTTGGACACATCGGAGCCAGGTGACCTTTTTTGTTACAAATATGACAATGGCATTCACGATAAGAACACTTATCTGATTGATGGTTTTGGCGTCCACAAACGGAACACCAAAAATTGGTTGACGATCCTACCGGGTGACCTCTGCTTCTTCCTGCTGCGCTGCGACCATATCGCTGACCAGACGAAGGATGAGCATGCGTAGGATGCTTAAACTTAGAAGTACTTGCGCCGGTGAAATGAATTTCTGGTTCCCTTTTTATCGCTGTTTCGAAAAAAGTTTGATTCGCTGACTTGGACGAAGCTATTTCCAAAACTTTGAAAAATTTCACAGTGGCCTTTTCTTCAAAAAGACGATCTTTCACTGAACCTTTTTCGTATCCAATTATAAATTGATTCACTAACGATTTCTCAATTTCTGCGGCACCACCAAATTCACACACGGACACTAAACTACGCAAACGCGCTGCCCATTCTTTAGGACTTTCTTGGGCTTGCTTGCGGGCTCCAAAAAATTTTTCACGGTTAGCAAAAATTGATGTAACCAGTGACGGATTTAGGCTTGCTGCCGCCCTAGGCCCCGTTCGATACACTGCCCTTTTTGATAAAATTAATTTCAATAATTTTCTATACATTAAACAAAACCAAGTCAAACACGTCAGTACCTGTCAAGCGTAGCGTTTTTGTTTTCTGTAAACATGTGAAATACACACCCGAACTACTTGTAAGTCTCAATAATGCACAATACTCCCGCTTCACTGAAGTTATTGAGATTACGATCACATAAATAAAACACTCAGGTAATAAATAAAATTCT